TGCATCGGAAGCTTTCAACTCTGATGCGTATATTAAATGGCCTGCCTAGAAAATATGGAAAAAATCACACCCTCTTATATGAGAGAAATACAAACTTCTTTTAACTACACCTAAAACTTTACACAATGAAGGCTTCATCTAGGTACGGATTGATACTGGTAAGCATATGATTTCTGGTTTACCTGGGTATAAGCTCGTGTAGATTTTTTCAGACTAACAAATTTCACGAACCCATTCAACTTGGGTTTGTTCTAAACGACGGCGCGTAATATCTCAGTTGTTTAAGAAATTTAGTTACTTACTTGATCAATCGAATTCAATTCACACTTAATATTACTACTTTGTTTTGTTTTGTTTTGTTTTAACGACTTTACCGGGTGTGACCAGACCCGGAAGGGTTAGTACGAACGGAACACAAGGTCCAGGCTAGGCACCACCCCTCCCCCCAATTTACCCTGGATAGACACTGCAGAAAGATAGAACCCAAGATCGGGCACTACGTGCCCTACTCTTTTCGAGGAGTGTGTAGGTTCTTTAACGTCCCACAAATTTAAATCACATATAAGGGCTTGTGAGACGGGACCTCCATTTATCGTCCCTATCCGAGAAGACTAGAAAGTCTAACCGTTTACAGATATTATTACAAAGGCAGCACTTTCTACTCAGTTATTTAAAGATCATGAGTGTTGGTCCGGCCGGATTTGAACTCTCGATGATGAAGCTTTACGCATGCAGCAGTCTTAATTAAACGTGTAATCTAACTCCAGAAAAAAAAATCAACTAATTTCCAAGAGTGGTTTTTATTACTGACACACGATAATCCTATTTGAGTAAAGTCAAAAATTCTCGAAGTTGGGAACAATTAGACAGACTACCTTGCTGCGGTCGTTCAAAGGTTGGATAAAACCTATGTAGTGGATAAACCCCTAACCGATGGATATTGCATTAGGTTTTCCTCAGTATCACTCATCCTGTGGATAGCAATTTATCTGTTAGATAGCCTTTTTCGCCTTTAATACAACTGGGCCTGTTTGGATGCGGAAACGGAAATCTCTTAATCAAAGGAGTTGTGTAAGCAGGCACGTTTATTCGAGTGAAAAACGGTGAAACGGTAACACGGTAGACTCAGAAAAAAACATCAACAACCTCGAAAAATTGCGACTCAAAAACTGAAACTCGCACAAGCGAAAATGGCACCCATAACTTGCTTACGAAATTTCAAAGCGAGTCCGCTACAAATTGCGCGTCACGCAAGTTCGGTAACTGTCTTCTTAACGAGGTCCCTGTCTTTTTATCATGAGCCTGCGGGCAGACCCCTATATTATTGTCACCACAGGACGAGCATTTCTGCTTATCCCTTTTCACTCCCTGTGGAGCATAGGTCCAAGGAAACCTCACGTCATCTCCTTCTATCCCGGGCCATCTTCTCTATTTCATTCCAGGTGTAGCCTGCCTTGGCCGCCTCCTTGTCCACGGTTTTCCTCCAGCTGTTTCTAGGACGGCCTTGTTTTCTCTTCCCTTGTGGGTTCCACCTCAGTGCATGCCTGGTCACATTGCTGTTCGGTTTTCTGAGGGTGTGCCCTATCCAACCCCATTTGCGCCTTCTAATCTAGTTGTCAATTCATTCCTGTTCAGTTCTTGCCCACAAATCTTCATTCCGTATGACCTCAGGCCAATGTATGTCCATGATGGACTGTAAGCATTTATTTGCAAAGGACTGCAGTTTGTTGGAGGTTGCTTTTGTTACCCTCCATGTCTCTGACCCATACAGGAGGACGGATTTCACGTTGGTTTTAAATATCAGTAGTTTGATCTTTCTGGAAATTGTTTTAGAGTTCCACAAAGGACGTAGAGTTGTGAAAGCAGTTCTTGCCTTCCCGATCCTCACTTGTATGTCTCGATCAGAACCGCCATCCTTGCTGATGTTACTGCCAAGATATACAAAGTCCTCCACTTCCTCGATGTCTTTTTGCGCTCGTGAGAAATTCTCAGGCTTTGAGCCCAGCGAGCTGGCGATAGGTCGTTCTGCAATGGGTCTGGCTAGATCCCTGACGAACCTCTCGATCGTCCACTTATATTTCAGAGGAAATATACAGTTTTCCATACCCCAACGTAAAAGCGGCTTTGGGAATCCTTTATGTCTAGCATGGAAAAACGACCCGGGCACCTACAGCTTCTTAATAAATGGCACGAAAGTGGTTAGCGGAATCCTGGCGGGGTCACAATATCTTTTTACGACTCTCCTCACGATTCCAGGCGGGGGTTCGTTAGTCCTCGGTTGGAAAAAGATTGTAGCTCAAATGCAAAATCCGTTTGTGGGAAGAATGACATGCTTACAGATGTGGTCGTCTTGCCTTTCGGATAATAGCATCAAAGTGTTATCTCAAAAAAGAGATGCGAAAAATTCCATTCTCCGTTGCTTAACTGGAGTGAAGTGAAGAACGAGACATCAGTCGGAGGTGTTCACCAGGAAGCTCCATCCTCAGTCACACAGCCGAATGTTGGTTAGCAAACACCCATCATATGTTCTTACATAGACTGATATTTCAATTAAAATCCTAAAATTGAGGGGAAAGTTCAAACCCTTGCCTTTTTATACCGACCACTTTGGACAGAAAAGTTCCACTTTCCTTTATCTTGTACCAGTAACTTTTACAAAACCTTCCTGGGAGGATATTATCCTTCTTCACCCTAAACCCTACGAAATGACTTTAAGAAGGATATAGTATGGGAGAACCTCTAAATATTACAAGAGGGCCGCATCGAATTTTGCAACACTGTTGTACAGTGATGGAGGTTTGAGGAATTTTTTCACGTCACTAAGAGTTATTCATTGGAGGAAAGTTGTCCTTCCTTCCTGTTTCAATTATTAGAAGAGAGTAAGATCTGCTTTCTTAATGAAAGTGACACAGATTACTATTTCAGTCTCACATTCACATTATTATTTTTATCATTGTCACCATTGACTAATGTAGGAAGATCATGAGAAATGAAGGTTTCACTCTTGAGGCTTTGCGTTAGAGCATGAAGCCTGTGGCCAAGTCAAGCGTTTAGGTCAATAAGACACAAAAACCACAACCAAACGGAATCTAATCATCGACGTTTTTCACCCCGAGCGAAAAGTTCGCGAATATGTTAAACGATGTGATTGGAATATTGTGTTTGCTAATGTTTGTTTTGATAGACTGTTGTAGCTGTCGCTAACGTTTGATGATACGACTCTCACTTAGGAATAATTGGCTTGAAGAAGAAATGAATACAGCCTTATTTGTTCTGATTTAGTGCCGGAGGAGGATTTCGATTTAGAGTTCGCTCCCAAATCAACTGGGAGTTACATTATGAAAGAGACGATAGCAGATCTTCAGCTGTCTTCGCTGACCGTGTGCCCGTGGTTGAAGAATGACAACTGTGATTCAACGCAAATAAGTTTTTTTAATTCCAATACCGATTATGATAACGAGATTGCGTTCAAACTGAAAAGAATGGAATCGATCCCCGAATGCAAGCTCAGCATTATCATGAAAAATGCTGGGTAAGTTAATTTTTTTCTGACCCAGTTTGTACCTAAATGTAGAGGGGTGTTTGTGACATGTTTGGTAAAATCATTTGAGATCTTAAGCTCGCTCCAGGCGTCGAGTTTTTAAACTGGGCGCGTTAGGGCGTAAAGCTACCTGATATGTGTCTCCTTATGCTGGCATCTACTTTCGCACCTTATATAATTACCAATTTAACGCTTGAAACAGGTTACCTTCTTGTTGTAAATATAGCTATAGCCAAGAATCAGACACTCACATCAATATTTACGATTTGTAGTTCACTGAAATGCTGCAACATAGGACCAGAACAATAATATGAAATGGAAGGAGGGATCGAACCTCTAAAGCAAACCGCATGCCCAATCAAAACGTTTCCTAATCTCTTTACACTTATCCAACATTTTTCTCCCTCTCACATCTGTCAAGTAGGCTGCACGTGATACTGGTCATGTTCTAATGCGTTTTTGAGGATAAGAAAGAAATCCATGCTTTGCTCTGTTTCAACTGTTTGTAAGAAAGACAGATGCGGGCACAGAACGTAAGAACGAAGTATGTAAAGCCCGGGTAAAAAGGTAGGTTTTAAGGTTATGTTTAAAACTAGAGAAGGAGTGAAGGCCAGTGATGTTACTTGGTAAGTCATTCCAGAGACGTGCTGCAGCATAGTAGAATGCCCTCGCTCCCAATGTGGGTAACATCTCACCACTTGGGAACTTGAGCAGAAGTTTTTGATTCCACCTTAGCTCATATTTAGTGGGAATTTTAAAGCTAATAAGCTTACAAATATAGCCGGGTGCCATACCGTGCATTGCCTTAAAACACAATAAAAGAATCTTAAATTCTATACGGTACCTAATTGGTAATCAGTGAAGCTGGCACAACAGTGGTGTAATATGGCTAAACTTAGGTTGTTTAAAGATTAGCCTAGCGGCTGCATTTTGAACCCTTTGTAGCTTGTCAATTTGTACTTGAAGTGTACCATAAAGTAAGCTGTTACAGTAATCCAATCTGCTGGTAATAAAAGCGTAGATCAAAGTCTCTGTAGAGTTTGGCAATATATACTTCCTAATGCGCCAGATATTATGAATTAATATAATAAAATGATATATTACAAACTTTGTTTATATGAGCATTCATAGATAGTTTGTCGTCAAGAAAAGTACTAAGGTTTTTGACAACAGATGATCTTTCAACCTGGGATATTCCAACAATAATCGAAGAGATGTTAATTTTTGACAGTTGTTGCCGGGTCCCCATAAAAAGAAACTCCGTTTTTTCATCGTTAAAAAGGAGTTTATCGTGCTCCATCCATAAGCGGATATCATCTATGCAATTTTGCATGATGATAATAGCATCTCGTTGGCTTGTCACCTAATCAGGTTTAAAAGAAAGGCATAGTTGTGAGTCATCTGCATAACAGTGAGCTTCCGGGAGATGTTGTTCGACAATTTAAAAAACGTCGAAGAATAAATTATGTACAATAAAGGACCAAGACGGGAACCTTGCGGAACGCCCAGTCCAGACCGAAACTATCAGATAAGGTACCACAGATGGAAATGCGTTGTCGACGTGCCGTCAGATAAGAAGAGAACCATTCAAGTGGTGTACCAGTAATTCCAAACGAAAATTGAAGCTTACGTACACGTACATTGTAATCAACTGTGTCGAAAGCGGCACTTAAGTCTAATAACACGAGAAGGACTGTTTGCTGAGAATTCATGTCAAGTAGAATATCATTTTTCACTTTTAGAAGAGCTGTTTCCGTGCTGTGGTTCCTCCAACAGGCAGATTGTATAGACGGATAAAGATCGTTCCTCTTCATATAATTATCAACTTGTAGAAACACAGCTCGTTCGATTACTTTTGAGATGAACGAAAGATTACTCACAGGCCGGTAATTCTTATAAACAAGAGCAAGATTGGCTTTTTTCAGAATTGGTAGAACAAGAGCTTCTTTCCATACTGGAGGAAAATAACCGCTTTGAAGTGAAAGATTGATTGTTTTAGTTGTAACTGGTAAAAGAACATCGATAGATTTAACAAGTAAAGGTGTCGGAATTGGATCGAGAGCGCATGATTTCTTGGCCATTCCCATGATGATGTTGTAAACCTCGCTTTGTGTGAGAGCTTCAAAACAATTAAATGACGACTAACATAAATGTGAGTTCTCTGGTGGCTGACAGCTCTCACAATCTTGAATGGTACATTCCTTGAATTTAGGTCTAATATTGCTAATCTTTTGAACAAAGAAGTTTCCCATCTCATTTACCGACATAGATCTGTTTTTATGAGGAGGGAAGGGCGATTTCCACTTTTTTCTTGGATAAAGCCTTGATAAAAATCGAAGCGCGCCTTTCTCACTAAGTCAGTAGCGAAATTACGTGCAGATTTATATCGTATCAAGTCATCCAAAGATTTCGTGCGGCGCCATTTCCTTTCTGCTTTCCTCCTTATTCGCTTTGCCTCCGGCTAAAATATCATCATTATACCAAGGTACACGAGGTCTTGTGGCAATTATCTTTATTTGAAGCGGTGCATGTTTAGCTAGAATAACCCCCAATGTGTTGTTGTAGCAATTTACAAGTTCATCCAACACTCTCGGGGTGTTTTGGCAAAGTTCAGAAGCCGTTAAATCTTCGCAAAACGAGTCTACACCAATTGAATTATTTTTCCTGTAAACTCTTTCCTTTGATGTAATTTCTGTTTTGACCATTTGGAGAGTTGTTATGACAGAGGAATGATCCGAAAAAAGATGGGCAATGGAGACAGCGCTGGACTTGTCTTGGGGTGACAATTGACAGCAAGCTATCATGGCAGGAGCACATAAAGAACGTTTGTAAGTCATTCAGCAACAAAGTCGCAGTACTGAATCGGATAAAGTTTTTACCGATACCAACCTTAGAAAACATCTATTATAAAACTATTATCCCTAACGTTTTGTATGGCATTGTAGTCTGGGGGTCTTGTTCTTCAACCTTGACGGATGATATTGATCGAATTCATTTAAGAGCTACTAGAATTATTTACAACCTACCCCATAGCATCCACAGTGATGACATCATGAACGCTCCACACTGGAACTCTATTGTTTCACTTTACATCAGGAGACTTTTAGTTATTACGTACAATATCTATCATGGAAATAGCATCGAGCCTCTAAATGACTTAATAGTGAAATCCGAGACCCCTTATGACTTAAGAAAGTCCCTAAAAGTTAAGGTTCATAGACCAAGAACAGAAATGGGAAGATCTTCGTTTAAGCACAGAGCTGCACTATCCTGGAACCTCCTTCCCGAAGACATGAAGAACAGTTCAAACTTAACTTCCTTCAAGAGAAAACTCAGGGAAAATAAGAGAATTTTGAAATCTATAAGTTTTGCTAAAGCTTCCTGCAGCGTTTCCTACAAATCTGTTGACTTTAAATACTTTTAACATTTACTCCGTATTGTTGTTAATATTTATTTCTTTTAATTGCCATTATTTACATACCATTTTCGGTCTTTTCACTAATTAGGTATTTATTAGTTGATAGTTTAATTGATGCAGGTCCACATCAGGACGTAATGTCTTGCCTATCCTTCAACCTGCTTTATTAAATAAACTATGATGATGATGATGATGATGATGATGACTGTAGTGCGGGAGGTCGAGGGTTCGAGCCCCGGCCGGACCAACACTCAAGGTCTTAAAATAATTGAGAAGAATTTGCTACCTTTCTATAACATCAAGAAATGGTCAGATATTCTAGTCTTCTCGGATAGGGACTAAAATGGAGGTCCCGTCTCCTGCAGGGTTGGGGCAGGAGACGTTAATTTCCCACACACGAGATTACTGTATGATGGATGTCCTCCCCTGGGGTGGGATGGGTGGGTTAGGACAGCAGGTCCATATCAGCTATTACAGCTGCCAAATAAATTAACCTGCTTAAACAAATAAATGAACTTCAAATTCAACTTCAATAACAGGTGATCCCCAGATAATAGAATCTGATGCACGAGTAATCATTAAGTCAAGTGAGTGACCATGCTCATGTGTTGATTCATCAACGTGTTGGCAAAGGCCCATCGACTCAAAGAGATCCAACAATCTATTGACCACTTTCATAAATGGCTGCCGTATAAATATTCTTTTGTTTAAATTTAAATTAGCCCTACTGGCCTCGCTTGAGATAATGTATTCTTTTGAATTTTGTATTGGAGAACGAGGCCATTAGGGCTACTTTAAATTTAAACAAAAGAATGTTAATCGGGCAGCCATTTATGAAAGTGGTCTATTTGCATCGGGGGTCATGAGAGTTGTCGGAGTGAATGTTAAAATCACCAGTTATGACCAAAGGTTCATTGGAAATGATTAAAGTTTCCAAAAGTTCCGTAAATTCCATAAAAAAGGAGTTGGTAGTTACCGGATTCCTAGTTGAATAAGGCAGACGGTAGAGAACAACGAGTCGAAATTTGAGTCCACCGGAGGAAACTATCAGCTCTAAATACTCGAATGAACGAAGGTCCCTTCCTGCAATTGTTTGAACATTTAAATACTCTTTGAAGGGAACTGTTTTTCCTCCAACTCGACGATTTTGACGTGAATGATCAACAAGCTTGAACCCAGTTGGTGTAATTTCAGCCCTGTGAGCCGCATCATTCTCTGTCAGCCATGTCTCTCTAATAGCGAATAAATCAGATTTACACGTCAAAACATAATCAACGAATTCAGCAGACTTGTTCTCAATCGATCGGACATTCATAGTGCAAAGGGTAAGAGACGATTTCGTTCCCTCTGTTTCTGTTTAAAACAGTTTAGAGGGTTGTGGCTCGTTTGATCGTAGCGACACAAACTCTTGACATTTCGCATGGTGATATGTACTGGAATATGCGATGAGCTAATCACATAACTGGGTTCTTGTCGTAGAGGGTTATCTGGATTTGCATATGCTTGTTATAGGTATCATTGTCCGCCATGGACTAATTAGCATAATTTCCCTCTCTCAGAAATCGATTCGTTTGGTCAATGAGGTCCATTTCGTCAGCGAAGAATGAATCGCTTAAATTTGCAATTGGTAGTGCACAAAAGGAACATGTCCAGTCTAAGCTTGTGTTATCTAAATAGAACTTGAAGATTAATGGTGACATTTGAAGGCATTTTATGTGAAACACGCAGTAATTGCAATCAGAACACAAGATTGCATTTTGATTACTTCGAACGCTCTTGCCACAGTCTTTACAAGTAAGCGGGTTCTGAGACCTTGTTTCCTCCAACCCATGAATCTCAAGCAGACAAAAAGCCTCCATTTCTCCTGCTCAGAGAAGACAATCACAACAGAGGATTCATTTCAAAAAACAGATGCGCAGAAATGTCAGCTTTGAAACTCTTTACGGTTGCCAATTTACACTATAAACTAGTTGATAAAACGAAAATTACCTTGCTATTTTCCTCCACCGACGCAGCACCACAACCTCTTTAGAAACTTTCCCCTTTTTTGATTGGAAATAGTTTGATAATGGGTCTACGATGATTGATTGAAATTAATTAGAGTGAAAGAAATGTCGTTTTCAGGCGGGCGTCCCTTGAAGTGAAAATGCCTGTTAATTATATAATTTAAGAGAGGAAATAATTTCACCTCATTTTTTTTCAAATTAATACTCGCAGGTTAGCTTGGAAATATATTGGATTGTATTCAGCCCAAAGACATTTCGCCGCTTTTGCATGGGAAAGCACGAATGGAAAGAACGTTTTTTTCGGTCAACAATAATGGGTTCACGGGGGTTTGAAAGTTATATGGGCAAAACTATTTGTTACCGCTTCCGTTAGAATCGGAATATGTCGCGAAATATTTTGTGGTTCGACTTACGTCACCGCCGTGATTACTGCATCACAGTACATGTCAGAGATCGAACACTTTTCTAGGCCTAGGTCGCGAATTCGGTAAAAGCAGAGACTGCTGGGATGAAGGTCATTAAAAGAAGCGGAAATTTAAACAATGTATGTAACAAAAAAGCACTTACCATTAAAACTGCTTTAATCAATGTCTCTACCGGAGTATTATAAATCGCTTTAAAAGAATCAATCAAACTTCAGAATCATTTAAGCTCTGAATCAGGCCTCTTCAAATACGGACGGAGAGGCAAATTAAGGAGCAGTCAGAATTTTTATTTGAAGTATAAACTTTTCTGAGTCTACCACAATTTTTTCAGCCGTAAACCTTTGTGGTCAAGTTAACGATCTTGGAAACTCTTTGAGTACTTATGCGGTAAACAGGTAATGTGAATACTCAAAACATATCAGGTAGAAGTTGTTGTCTTCATCCAATACCAAATTCTTGTAACTTACTTACAAGGAAATGTGTAGCAGCTAGAGGGGAGAATTCATAATCAGATCTTTGGCGTTAAAGTGGGAAAACACTATTGCTGGTAGAACGTTTCACGAAAAAACCGGTCATTGAGTTTGTATTAAACGTAGATTACAAACTCATGATAAAGCTACGGTCTTAAGTGTGTCAAAAATATCGAATTATAGATTAAGGCTTGAGAATGGAAACAAAAAGAAGCGGTTTGACTGGTCACAGGTCCTGTGACACGTTATTTATATTCTATATTTTTTTAAACAAAGAAGAAACTTCATTTTTTATTTGCCAACAAGCATGTTAAATATGCAATTCTTTTTGTATCGTCAAGAGAAAATGATTACTCATCCATCAAGAGCTATAGCTAAAATTACACAGTAATTATCATGTGTGACATTCTTTTCATGTCTTAATCTGGTATCTTCACTTGATAAATAAACCCTTTTTTCGAAAACCACCACCCAAGTTACCCAATAATAATAGTGCGGAATTCCTTACATGCCTTCGCTTAAAGAAAAATATCATTTAAAATTACATTTTTAATACCCAACTTACCCTTAATAGAAAACAAATTACCGGCCCTTTAAAAATAGTGGGAATAACTTGATGAAAAACACCATTTGAAATCTGCAACACTCTTACTTCTAAAAACTTTGTCCATTTTACCTGATAATAACGATTTGAAATTAATTTCATGCCTCCTTCACTTGATACGAAATGCAACATGAAATGCTCTTTTAACACCAACAAGGATAACTTAAGATATTGAATGCCTTAAGTTACAATGAGTGTCAGTCTGGTTAAATCCAAGTCACAAAACTTGCTCACAAGTAAAATAGAATTTACCTTTTCCTCCCTATAATTGCCTCAGTGGGTGCCCTCAACAAGCCATCTATGTTAGAAAATTAAAAAAAAAAGAAAAACAGTAATGTGCAATTCCATCAACTCGTTGTCAAGGAAAAGTGCAGGTAACGTAAACCGTACACAGATAATTCAACAAAAAAGACGCAGAGGAAACATTTCCCCAACTCAGTGAATCCCAATACTCAATCAATCACAAAACCTTCAAGACAGTAGTAAATCAAAATATGGTACATACCGGAAGACTCATAATCCGTAACATTCGTGTGGATATGATGATCGAATTTCTTGCAAACAAGCATTATATCATTTTTGTTTTATCGTTTGTTTAGATCATTATTGTTTCAAAAACTTTAGCAGAATGGGTCTCTTGCATCAAAACATTATTTCGAATCGTATTATTCTTCAAGTACGTTCAAATGTTTTGACTTGGATTAAATTCTAGCTTGAAATAGTTAACAAGTTTGGGGATTGAATTGTAAAACATTATCTTAAAAATCAGAAGTATTATTCTTTGTAAAAAAAAAGTTTGACAACATTTCCCTCAAACTAAAACAAAGTGACAGGTTCCTCTCTATCTGAAGACTAATCTTCCAAAATTATCGATGCCATTTGATTGGCTTATTGATTGCGGCAAGGTTGAACTAAAATTACAAATAATAGTCCTCCATCACCGATTTCGTTTATCACAATGACCTTTCCAATATTAACAAAGGTAATGTCATTTCTTATTCAAGAATTGTGTCGATCTTGGTTGTGCTGAACTTCCATTAAGGTGTTTTTTAGACTGTTTCATCAGGCTTGCTCTGACTGCTCTGATAGCTCCTGATAATTTTCAGCACCTTTGTTTTCTGGAGAATTTTCTTCAGCTTGTGGAATAAGTGACCCGGTCACTTGTTGTTGGGCAGCTTCTTGGTCCTCAGCGGGTTGAAGTACACATGGCATTTCCTGCGGCTGGTCAATGGCTAAGTCATTCTCAGGGAGAGCGGTTGATTCGCCATCAGCTGATTCATTTACGCATGGGATTTCCTGCGAGTGCCCATTACCTGAGTCATTCTCGGGCACAGCCGTTGAATGAGAGGTGTTTCTTTCTTCAAACGCCTTGGCTTCCTCAGAAGATACAACTTGACGCGGAGTGTCATCGGACGCCTTTTTATCGTCAACCTTACCACTAATCTCCATGGGCGCTTGTCGCGACGAACTTTCTGTAGTTTGTGATGAGAGTTGCTGATGAAGGTTGCCAAGACTGGCGGAATGATGCAAGCCGCCATAAAAGCCAGATGCTACACCTAGGCCATAAACAGATGGACCTGACATCACCCGTTGAAAACCAAATCTTAAATTCAATCCACTCACACTGCCAAAGCCATCAAACGTTGATCCCCCGAGTGCCCCAAATTCCCTTGCTTGGGAGAGGCCACCTAAGATTCCAACGGACGGTAGAAACAACTGGTCACGGCGAAAAGTACTTTCTGGCTGTAAAAGACTGCTACTGCGTGTAGCGTCAAACCCACTACTCAATGATCTCGCATGAAAAAACGAGGAAGGTGCGCGAGACTTACGACCACCTTGGAGAGTTGATACTGTGGAAGAAGAACCTCCAATACCATGACCACGACTGGCTAGGTACTGATCACCTCTTGTATAAGAACCCTGCCCTAAAGTTCGCACGTCATGTAGTGGTTGGCTCAAAAAGGACCTGCTATCTTTAGTCTCTCGATTCGACCTTGCTGTTTTTTGAGAACCGGAGACAATTCTGGGAGTTCCAGATTTTTCCCTTTGCTGTAAAGAACTCGAGCTCAGGTCTAACATTGATGACGAGAGCCTTTTAGACTGACGGCCAAGATCACGGCCTCTCTCCAGACTTGTGGAAAACCTCACATTGGTGGCCTGGAGAAGGACAAGCGGCAACTTAAATGAATGATTTACTACTTACGCCAGTGACGAAAGCCAGAAAAGTGTAACACCTCACGAGCAGTACTAATCGTAAACAGAAAAGATTCTGGTTAAAGAAAAAAGAGCGAGGTAAGGTAGCAAAAAATACCTAAAGAAAGTATCACCAAGAATTCGTAACACTAACCTTCCTTGATTTTGATTGGAGGGCTCGCGTTTGACGTTCTTCAATGTCATCCATTCTCCCCTTAAGAAAATTCATCTGGCTCTCTAACGAACTTCTCTTCGCATCTAAGGTTAAGTTCTTGTCATGTAGAGATTCAGTTACACTGGTAGAGTATCGCTGACAAAGGAACCAAAAGGATACATTTCAGATATTTTCCTAAGAAAAATAGTCAGAATGTTCACTGAAGCCTTCAAAAAGAGTTAAGCCGTCTGGGAAGATCGTCTTATTTCAGCTGCCTGTATAATATTCACGAGAAGTAAGTGGGTTAAACGTAAGGGAGGAGTACAATCTGAGACATTCGCGAATCCGTTGCTCTGAAATTAAATACAAAATTATTGATTTTTTTTTAGCTCGCAGAGGAAAGTTTTCCTGTTTAAGAAGACATAGTGGAAACAACAGGATTCTCAAAACATGGACACTAGAGGTGGGCTGCACTTGCTGAGAGAGGATGAATAAATAAGGCATGAATAAAGTAAAAAATATGATTTCAGTGATACTTGAAATACCACAGTAATGATATTCAATTAATCGTTCTTCTCCAAAAAACAGCACGCGTAATGCTAAACTCACCATTTTTTTGTCCACGAACATCGTCGATTTCATATGTAAAGTAGTTGTCTGTAGTTTTCTTTTAAGATCTTCAATTTGTCTTTTGTATTTCTCCTCCAGGCGATCCCTTTCTCTATCAAATTCCTCCTGCATCTGGGCTCTTTCTTGTTTGTAATTCGTTTTTAAATCGTATTTCTCTTTTCGCAAGAATTCTATCTCTCGCTCGAGATCCTGGATTGTGACTTCCATCTTTCCACGTGAAGCTCTCATTTCCAAATCCCACTCGGTTTTAAAAAGTGACCCCTTATTCGCAGGAATGTCTTTGGTGAGAAGTAGGCTGTAGGTGCTATGTATTCCCTGTTCAGAAAGCTTGAGCTGAATCTGCTTTCGCTGCTCCTGCAGGAATGTAATCTCTTTTCTCAATACGCGCAAAGTCTCCTCGTATTTCTCCCTTTCTTTGTCCAGAGCAACTCGATATTCCATCTGGAGACTTTCCCTTAACTGACCTTCCATGCTCGTCGTATCCTGTTCCAACTCTGATTTCTTATACTCGAATTTAACCTCCAGTTGATGTAATTCTCTCAGATGCTTTTCCTCTAGGCTTCGTGTTTTGTTTTCAGAAACAGAGAGCTTCCTCCTAAGTTCGTTCATGGACTTCTGGGTACTTTCTCTTTCTTTTCGAAGTCTTACATCGCACTCTTCACGAACTTTCGTCACGGCCTCTGACAGCTCTTTGATTCTGCTGTTGTTGCTTCCTCTCTCCTTTCTAAGTTTGTTCAGTAGGGTCTCTTTTTCGTGTCTCAGCTTCTTCACTTCTTCTGTCAGTTTTTGGACGTTGTTTTGAAGACATTTGTGCTCGCCATCCTTAATTCGCGTAGTGTTTAGTAGCTCCAATTTAAAGATTTGTTTCTCACTTTCAAAGGCGTCCAATTGAATCTTGATTTGCCTTCTCAACTCGTCCATCTGATCTTTGTGATCTTTAACCAGATCAGCCATACTTCCAACTCCATCTTGATATGCCAACTGATCTTTTGAATCTCTTTGACACGAATCGCTCTTCCTAAGATTGTCGACTTGTCTTTCATAGTCATGTAATTTTATTCTATACTCTTCTTCAATCTCACTCCTCAATTTCTTAATCTTCTGATCACTGTCGCATTCCATATCATCAAATTTTCGACTGTACCTCCTCTCTGTATCATAAAGGTTCTCTTGCAATTCTTTTTTCTCAGATGTAAGAGTATCTATCTTTTTCTTTAACTCGATTATTGTTTGCTGAGAAGCTGTACCTACTCCAGGTTGATTAACGGTGTTGGTGACAAGAAACTCGTCAGAAGTCAAAGAAACCTGATTTGCTACAAATTCGTTGCGAGACGCGTTTTGTTGCCTCAATCTCTCCTCTATTTCATTTATTCTTCTTTCCATCGTTTTTCTCTCCTCTTCAAAGCGCCGCCTGTACATCTCCTTTTCATTGTCAAACTCGTTTCGGATTCGCTGTTTCTCTTCCTCCAAGGTCCTGATCTCCTCATCATATTTCTTCTTCCTGTCATACAAAGTGCTCTCCAGTTGCTCCGTCTGCTTCTTAAATATCTCAACGCTCTTGTCGAGCTCCTCTTTAACACTTTTAGCTCTGTTTCTCTCAAAATTGATTTCCTCCGTTAGCTGAGCCGTTATTTCACTCTTCTTCCTCTCTAGACGTTTGTTATTCCTCTCTAAGTCATAAATCCTCGTCTCCAGGGAATTGATCTCGGCCTCCATGTTTCTGTTAACTTTCACCTGCTCGTTATGCTTTTTCTCGAGTATTTCCTTTTCACTCAAGATATCGTTTATTTGTGACGTCTTGTCCTTACTGAAATTTCTTATCCAGTCTTCCTTTTCATTTCTAAAGTTTTCCTCCATTTCTCTTATTTTCCTCGAGAGACTCCCTACGTCGTCTGTCAGTCGCTTGTTCTTATCCTCTACCTGCCGCACAGATGACAACGAATTGTCCAGCTCCTTCACTAATTCTCTCTGCTTACGGATCATTTCATCTTGTTTAGACGTTAGCTCTTCGATCTTCTCTGACAGTTCCATGTTTTTATTTTCTACTTCCTTCTTTTTCTTAACTTCTTGTTCCAATATTTGGCAGGTTTCTCTCAGTTCTTCTATTTCGTCCATCAGCTCTTTCAAATTTTGCTTGCTACCCGACGTCTGAGACGTTGCGGTCATCCTGTCCTTTAGACGAGTTGTAGACATTCCATTAGTGACGTTTTGCTCAAGCAATTCATTAATCTGGTACAGGAGTTTCTTGTTTTCTTTTTCGAGCCTCTCTTTCTTTCGAATTTCTTCTTCGAGTTTCTGTTTTCCATCTTCTTGCGTTGAAAGTTGTCCCTGTCCACCGGAAACAAGTTGAGATGATGCGGTGTGCGTTTGCTGTAACAAGTTTGTTGGAATCATAAACTGATTGACAGCTGATCCATTGACGTAAGAGACAATTTCTTCTCTTTCCTTCTCAAACCGAAGTTTAAGTTCTTGAGCTTCACGAAAGAATCTGTCCTCCATTTCCTTTCTTTGTCTGTCAGATTCTAGTAATTCTGCCATTAGTCGTTCTATTTCCATCGACAATTCCGCTTTCGTTTGGATTTCTTCTTCAATATTCATACGCAACTCATTGACATCTCGTGAGTAAGTCTCCTGAAGGGTATTTCTTTCGTCAATAATATCATTTTCACTTTTGTAGGCTTCTTCGATTTTAAGGAGAATTTCCTTTCTTTCTTCCTCAATTTTACGGATATTTTCCTCTAATTGATGAGTTTGTTCCTGAAGTTGTTTGTTGCTGCTGATCTCCATTTCAAGCTTGATCTCGACCTGATGAATTTCTTCTTCATACGCCTGCTTCATCTGTGACATTTGAAATTCGTAGTCTTCCACAACAGTAGACTTCGAGTAAAGCTCATTTTCTAACACCTTATTCTCTCTCTTGCATAACCTTAAATCACTTTCGGCCTTGTTGTTTGCTTCCTCTAGATGACGCTCCTGTTCCTGAGTGAATCTTTCCAGTTCCCTCACGCGATCTTCCAGCAGCAACTTCTCCCTTTCTAGCCTTATTACTTCCTCCTCGAGCAACCTCTGCTTCTCGTTGTGATTTCCAGAAAGTCTATCCTCAAGTATAGCTTTGCTGTAGTCCTGTTTATCTATTACATCGATAATTTGCTTAAAAAGCTCGTTTTCGTGGGCCAGTAAGGCTACTTCTTGCTTATACATCTCATTGCTCACCGAGAAGGAACCTTCAGCAGAGGAACTAGACAGAAAGATGCCGCCGCCAGTACCTAAAGATGCCCTCTCCGATCCACTTTGCATCACCGCTGCGGTGCCCAAATTCACTCTTGTCTGGATGGCTGTTCTTAGTTGGCTAAACTGCGCTTTCAGATGGCTATTCTCAAGGCGCAGTGACTGAAGCTCTTCCTCGTAACTCGCCAGGTTTCTCGAAACTTCGGATAACTTTTCTTCAAAATGTATCTTTTGGTCAAATTCTTGATGTAACTTTATCTCAAGAGATTCTCTGTCCCTCTTTTCACGCTTGTATCGAAAACGCAGCTCATCACGATCCCTAAGAAGCTGTTGGTACTTACTCTCATGGAAAGTCGCGTCAAAGTCAAGGGGTGGATCTGTTTCAGAGTCCAGGTAACTCTCAGCCGCCAACTCTCTAAAAGCCGGTTCCGACTCTTGCTCAATTGAGTCCATCGCTAAGAGGTTTCGATAAAAAAAAAAAGTGCTGAATTGAAATTGAATATCGCAAAATAACAAGGCATGAATATGGTTCGACTTTCTATTCTTAAAAAAAAAGAAAACGTCTGTAAATAATTTTGGCATTATGTTATCCACCTCCGGCTGTTCCAAATTATTATAATAAACTTCAACTTTTTGTTGGAAACTAAAGCTGCAATAGTGAGTGACACTTGCATCGTACACAAATTAGGAAAAAATTGTTGGCTCCAAACGAATAAAACACTTTCGAATATTGTGTAATGTCTTCCTTCTACTATTCGCGATAAACCACACGTTCAACAAAGCCCTTGTGTTTCGCCTATTGGGCGAATATAATTTTGGTAAAGAGTAACTAATGGTTTGCGACCGTTGTCGTCACTCAGTAATGGGACACTGATGGTTTAGAGGAGACTTCAAGACACCTTAATTCTTTTAAAGCAACTTAACCCTTATCACTTTGCCACCGTAGCAACGTTTGTAGCAACGACTGTTTCATTTCGATCCATGGATTTTTGCGACTTTTTAAATCTTTATTGCCGTTTCCAAATATTCAGCGCACTTTGTTGCAATACGTATTATCTTGCTACTCCAAATATATAGGTTTCGAAAAAATTTTAGATTATCTTCCACACGTTATCAGATATAAGCCAAACGCTACCAATCAAAACACTGGAGACCAATCTACATTTTTTTCGACAATTTTAATTTAAAATGGTTAAAAGAGTACGCTAACAGAGAAATATTCAAGTCAGATACAGTCATTCAAATCATACGGGTAAATCATTTGCATTGCCTGACGAAAATCAGATTTGCCCTCCAAACACAGTAGTCTTTCATATTCAATTAGCACCTTAAATCTGCTCCAAACTGATCATTGTTCGCTGCAATGCGAATGAACTTCGGCAAAGCCAAATTCATAAATGCTATTTTATTCTCCACTTAGACTTCTTGTACTCCGATTTTGTATACGGATGAAGAATTTCTCAACAAAACTAGAGATTGTGAAAAGTCCCGAGTTTTAGTATATATTTATTTTCCCCATCATGTAAACACTGGAATGATTTTGATATAACTGCATGCAATTCACACGTACCTGCTATGAAACCAGCAGCCGTTCTTAAGAACCTGATGCAGGTGTGGAGTCCTTCCCGAGTTGAAGTGAATGCCTCAAACTTCACGAGTTAAGGCGAATGAATCTCCCAAAAGGACGAATCACTGGGATGAGCAAAATCCTGAGATGGACGCTGAATTTAAACTCGATGTAGAGAATAATCCAGACTTTATGAGATATACTGGTTGTGGGTAAAAGCAAGTGTTTCTATTGGATACTCAGAATGTTAAATCAAAACACACGGACAGAAAAGGAAAAAGTTATAAATTCGCTGTTTGTCCTCGAGTCCCACACTTGGGCTCTTAAGACCTATGTGGTTTGAAATCAGTCCCAAAACGCCAGCGATGGTTGTTATAAATAAAACCTCCAGAAGATGATAGGAGAGGAGCAGAGCAGAGATGATAGGAGAGGAGCAGAGTAAATATAGAGCAGAAAAAATAGGCAAACACAGTTTAAAAATGTAATTACCGCAATGTAAAACTTTTGCAATATTTACAGCCTCGAGTTCTGTCGTGTTGGCCTATAAAAATCAAATCATTAGATCCTGTAAAGACAATGAGATCAAAGAGTTTCCTAATGAGGAACACCAGAAACACTCTGTGGTCGCACTTGGCATCGATAATTCTAGTAAAACGTGGCTCAAGGATGCATATTGGGATTCCTCGCCAGCAACTCAGATAACTAAATAGATCCTCTAAACAAACCGGGGTATGATTCTTTCTTGTGATCTATTTCTTAGGATTAATTTGGATATATCAACAAAGTTGAAGTGGTAAATTGGCCACCGTAACGATTACAAAAGCTGACGTTTCCAGCGTTAGCCCTTCGTCGGAGCTAAGGGCCGACGAAGGGCTAACGCTCGAAACGTCAGCTTTTGTAATTGTTACGGTGGCCAATTCACCACTTCAACTTTGTTGATATATCCAAATTATTTCGTTACTCCCACCGACGCAGCCCCAAACAGTTTCTTTCGAAACTATCAGCCTTTATTCATTTGTATTTCTTAGGATGTTCCATTTTTTATGTGGTCACAATTGGTATCGTTAATTCAAGTAAAATGTTGCTCAAGTATGCATGATTGGGATTGGTTCAGTCAATTACGTTTGAATTTCAGCATCAAATCTAATTAGATAAATCCCACAACTAAGTAAGTTTGAAGATGGTATCATGGCATAATTGCAGCTCTTTTGCGTTTTCGACGATTAAAAGAACGTAAAATAGCTTAAGAATGCTTCACACCTTTGCTAACCGGTTACGTGTCCTTGCCAGCAACTCAGAGAACTAAATAGATCCTCATAATCCGGGGTATGATTATTTCTTGTGATTTATTTCATTGGATGCTCCATATTTTTATGTGGAAAAGAGAATCGAAATAATTGATGAAACTCTTACTCTACAGTCTTAATATCTGATGGAAATTTACCCAGTATTACAAAACGGTTGTACAACTCTTGTTAGTATTCCAGGTTTTACGGCACGCTCTCTTGTTATTGAGAACCAATTGCTCGAGCTATGCCTATCCCTTTTCTGAATTCGTTTTATAATCAGTGCAATTAATTTTAGAGAATATAGAAATGTGCGTTCAGATTAATGGGGAAAAACTCGTAGCATAGTATAATCATCCAACGCAAAGCGATTGTACTAGCGAAGCAACCATTTTTGAAACGGCTTCTGCACAATTTCGTGATGTTTCTTAGGTAAAACAGAATTATTTTAAACACAATTAAGTTCTTCTCGTAATCAAAAGCAATGATACAAGACAAATTTGTGTCCTCTGTTTCTTGGAATATTATCCCATAGCTTTTAGACGTGACAACGTACGGACCACAAGATATTGTGCAATTAATGGTATTAGGACCACTTAGACCCTCGAAGGTCGCAAATGAACCAACTAAAAATTTTTCGTTCAAGAACTGTACTTAAGGTCAGGTTAGTGTTTTCGTAATATTGACATAGCAAAAAAAGGAAAACTACAAGAAACCATACGTACATGCAAATTCTCATGGTCGAAGGTCATACGTTTGCAAGAACTGAGAAGGTACGCGTTCAAAAAATTTCAAATCCGTGAAAAGTTTAGTGTCTTATAAGATTGATTCTAATACTGCTGACTAGGGTAATATAAGGTAAATCCCAAGGATTTATCACAGTGAATGTTTATTGGGTAAAACATTTCCATATAAATCACACGGGTATTTACATGAATAATGTAAAATCCTAGAATTGAAATCACCACCAACGTGAAAACAGAGGGCCAATCTTTCTCTGCTTCTCAAAATTATAGACACCCTAGCAGTGAAGGGCTACCAACTCTACATTTCATGTAGCATGTAGCTTCCTTCTTGTCACCATAATTTAAGAAGAACATTTGAAATTTAAATTAGCTAGTTTGCTTCGCTTCCTCGATCTTTGAATCGAATTCTCTCTCTAAAGTAAGCTCTCAAGAGGGAATTCTCCCCAACACCCCAATTATTCACTGTTTCAGTGTATTTGGTAGAATGAGATTTTTTAACCAAAATGGCGAGGTTCCTTGATTTGACCTTGCCCTGATGGATTCCCACTCAGCCAAACTCAAAGAACAAAAAGAAAATAGTGTTACCTCTATTAAAGAACAAGTCTTCAGCGAATAATTGCCTTGTCTTAAGTAAAACATGACTTGAAATATCTAGTATAATCTGGTAACATTTTAGTATAGAACAGTGCTTGAACAATTAACTTTCTGAAGTGGAGGACTATAACCGCAAGAGGTATAACAGCAAATATTCTAAAAATAAACCAAGAGAGCGACACTGATTGGCCAAGTCTTACAATATTTATTAGATGAGTTATCAAAATCTTGCAAAAGAAATGCGTGTTCAAAATACAGGCACCAGTTGATCAAATGCTAATTATAACATAGCTAGCAGAGCCGCGCAATGAAATCCAATATACGTAAGCGTGCTCAAAATCTTGATAGTGCACGCTGATAGTGTGAGCAAATCGCTTCGCCAGATAAAATTTTTTTTCGCGCGACCGGCCATTGCTAGCGCCGGGAAAAATAATATATTTCGCGACAATAATGGATACAAACAGAGACTCGGCCCACCAGTCTCAAAACGAAGACAATTTTCCGACCTTTTCCCTTGGGCTAGAGTTCTTAAATGAGGCAGAAAACGAGAAAAACAACGGAAAAGGAGACGGCATCAGCGCCGTCACGATTCGCTTCACTTGTCCGAGGGTGAAATGCAACAAATTTTGACAGAAAGACACCCTGGTAAAACCAAACAAATGACAAACTGGTCTGTTTCAAGCTTCAAAGGTAAACTTAAATTTTTCCACTTCAAAATTGTTAAATATATATTTACAGTTGTTCTCGGAAATAGTAAAACTTAAGGAAAAATTGTCTGCAAAAGTCATTACCACATTTAATTACATCGAATTACAGATGTAGCGATAACAGTCTTTCTGTCTGGTTTTCCTTCACGAAAATAACTTTTAAATGGTTTCTTTTTAAACTCAAAGAAAATTTGTTTTTATTGTGGCTTGGTGTAACGAGAAACAAATACAAACTCCGATGGAAAACATGAGGGTAGGACAACTGAACAAAAACGAATATTTCGCTTATCGCGAACAATCACTTCTGATACTGTTGTCCGTTTTTCGTGTCGGATTTGATGCACAATTCCACCGGCTATGTTATAAAACAATTGGTTCATGCTTTTAGCTGTGCACTCAAGAAGCTAGAGTTGCCCTCGGCTATTGCCTCGGGCAACTCTAACGCTTCTTTCGTGCTCTCCAAACTTCTCGCGTGCTCCATAACTCGATAGTGCACGCTAAACCATGAACCAATTGTTAAATAGCGCCATCCACTGGACAAATCTCTATTCGGTGGAGAGCGCAGTACGTTTTGTTAACACTTATCCACTGAATAACGATTTATAGTCATAGTTATATAGTTAGTTATCTGCCCGTTAAACAACTCGTCCCAGGTCATTTGCAGTTTCAGGCAGCGATGAATACCATTCGCATTTCCTCGCATAATTTACGAAAAATTAACGTACTTAATTCAGTTCAAGTAAAATAAATAGTTTGATTCAAATCCCATGTTTATTTTCAAAACTACAAAACGAACGAAAAACCAAACATAATTAAATAAAGGCGATCTATAGATAGAGCGCCAAAGAAAACATTGATGTTTTAAATTGGAACAAATATATTATGTCAATGAAACCGTATCCAAATGAAACAAAAGTAGAGTAAAATAGACTGTGTCAGGTTTCCTTATGTGTGTAAGATACATGTTTTGTCAGCCATGTGCCTGAATCAATAGTGCTGTCTTAGTTTGCTTCCAATGAACGTTGCAAAAGATAAACTGAAGGCATTGTGTAATTACTTTGTGACGGAAGCTTTAAAATGACGTCATGCCGTACGTCAAGTCTCATAACTGAAACAAAAACCTAGACCAATATTTAGGTTTTGCTTAGGTAAATATGAAATTTACAGACTCGTACTTTTTACAAAATTCTTCTTTGTTGATGAGGTTTTTGCAGCTTGGTTGAGTCAAACAAAGCTGCCACGTTTTTTTTTCTAATTCAAGAAAGATCTTCAAGAGGCCTGTAACAGAATATGCCAAAAAAACATCGGCCCAACCCGAATATCACAGTTTTTCTTTTCACGACTTAGAAAAAGAAGCTGTTTGTTTGTTAACAAAAGTAAATTGACATTATTTTACCACTATTTGAAATATTTTATTTTCAAATCCTTAACACTTTCTTCGGCTTTTCTACATTCGATTCAAAAAATCTGTATCGAATCACGTACATTGAAAAGTCATCCTCCTCAAAAGTTTTTTTGAACTGACCTTGGGATCTAAATTCTACAACACAGCGAAGGTTTACTTAAAGTTTTTTTAAAATTAAACAAAGATTAATTTGCCGTTTAAGAGGCCAGAGCTCCAATACACAGGTGTGGCTCCCACGAATTTCTCGTGAACAAGGAATTTTGCCAATTCCATAAGTGAAAACGAATCCTACTTATTGCGAGGTTCGGCAAAGTCCAAAGTGTCTTGCGTGGGGAACGAGACGAAAAAAAATGTAAATGGAAACTAGAAGTATCTTGATCTGGGTTCGGCATGACAATCTGAAATCCCAGTAGCTTTCAAGAAACGACTTTGTTTTAACTTTGTCTGAATTCCTTCGTGGCAAAGAACGCGACGTAGTGAGCGGTAGGATGTTTTGGTGGTAAACACAATGACAATACCACGTGACAAACTCCTCTCTAAAAGATTTTGGTTCGTGCTACGTGATTGGCTAATAGACATCCGTGATTGAATCCTTCGCAGGTCTTGCCAAGAGCTTGCAGCCCCCCCTCGGAATCATAAGAATCGGTCTTTATGTGATGCTACATTCGAATATTCGGTGTTGTTTCCCGTATTGTATAGGTATCACTACAGTCTTCGTTGCGCCGAAAGAAGGCTGGTTGGCTAGCAGTAATATGATATAAAAATTTTTAGACCACAATGCTTCGCATCGACTTCTGAATATAAGATATTATTTGTTGTAGTTGCTTTTTTGTACAGTAGAACAGTTAGATCACTGGTCTACCAGTAGAATTATCAATCACCGTTGATTACTTGAACTTTCGAAAATACATTATTTTTTCAGTAAACATGGTGAATATTCCTTCTCACAGGATTTGTAGAAAAAAGCCTCACCTCAGAAAAAAAAAGCCAGATCGCAACTGGGAGTAAACTACCTTTTCTAATTTTAATGAGTCTAAAATTAAAAATACAGTTCCTTACGTCAAGGCGATTTTTTTTTTTTTTAATTCTTAACAAGTGCAGGTTATAAGAACGAAACACGCAAATGCTGAAGGAAGTCAAAATGCAACGTCAACATGTAAGTGGTAACAAAGGGTGGCTTCTGCTTTTCGGTTTCGGGCCAATTCTTCTTTAATTACAGCATAATTTACGACGAGTCTAGTGGTTACATGTTTGAGCAGGTTTCTAACTATTGTTACAATTGTCAACTATTATGTTCTTAATAATTTTACCTTTCCTATTCTGCCTTTTATTCTTTTGAATTTTTGCCTTTGACAAGATGTTTATTGTTTTAATAAATACTCATGAACACCACGAAGGGACGCTGTGGGTTTCACAGACGCAAACCGCCGCTAAATTATGAATCGGAAAATGTTGATTGTTTGCCTGCAGGATAGCGAGTAATTTGTACTAAAGTGATAATTGAAGATGCAAAAACTCCAATGCGAAGAGTTTTATCTGATGATGTCCCGTTGTCCTTCTACTACTTGACTCCTTCTTTTTTCAAATTTCTGCAAGAATTGGGGTAGGCAGTATGACTAGTTTCCGTAACTCCTCTCAATGTTTGAAATAGAGCAGGAGAATATCGCACGGGCGAGTAACAGTTTCGATCACCGCTGGACATTTAATTGACAGTGAATGCACGGGTAGTTGGGATTACTTAACTTGTAAAAACATCTCTCTAAGAAATTTTTTCTTTTTTTTTTCTTCGTAGAAAATTTCAAAATTTTAAAATCTCTAGGAAAGTGTGGTTAAACAAACAGTCCACATAGGCAAAGCTGAGAAAAGTTGGTCGATTGGCATGGGAAAAGGAATAGCACACCGCGTTTTCCAAATAGATGGATAGACTCTTCGGGTATGTGGTTACAGGCCGTTAAACCACGAATCCTGGCATGAAATTGAAGACGTTTGGCTTTACGCATTTTAAACTCTTGAACTACTTGTTGTTAATTTATAATTCATGGATAATTCTCGCCCAGGGTGCCTAAAGCAGCTTCTTAAAGCCTCAACCTGCGCCAAAGTTATCAGTCAGCTTACGAGACTTCGCTACTTTGTTCCACGGACGAAGAGGCCGGGAAATAGTACAAGGTTGGTAGGTTGGGTACAATATTTTCCTCAATTTTACTAGAAAAATAGACCGATAGCAGCGAACCGAGTAAAAGCTCCTTGTGGAAAAACACTCGTCGCTTTTAAAAGGACTTTTCCAGTTGTAATCAGTTTCTTTGGTGAAAACACAAAACTTTACCAGTTACTAAAGTAAATACTGACTATCTTATGTATTTGTAATCTTAACTGCAATTATGCAATTTTTCAACCTGAAAAACAGGGTTTGAAGCCAACAAAGCAAAATAATTTTTCTTTGTGTGCGAGTGCATACCGCAGAAAAGTTTCAAAGCCGTTGTTATACGACTAGAAATGTTATTTTACACTTGACGCGACAGAACCATGTTCCACGTTCTTAACTTTCAATTTTAGAGTTTTCATGATGTTGACACATACTATTTACCTGACAAGGGGGAAACCAGAGTACAGGAATTAAAGAAGGATAATGCTGAATCTCAATTTAAACCCGAATTTTAAAAATGCACAAATAAAACGATAATGCATAGAGAAGTGAAAGCTTTATGAAAGCTTCAAGGCTAATTACAAGCCTCAAGCCTCTAGGTGACTTAATTATACTTTTCGTTCAATTCAGAAAATGGCAGAAGAAGAAATTAAGAAACAGCTAGAAGAGAAAACTGCCGAGGCAGCCACTTTAAAAGAAGAGCTATCACAGAAAGCTGCCGAAGTAATTGGTCTGCAAGAACAATGCGATGAATTAAGGCAAAAATTGGAGCAGGTCTTGAAGCTGGCAGGAGACAAGAAGGAGGACCTGTTAGCTAAGGTACCAGGTGGTCTTGGCGGTGTGTTGGGTGATGGATCCAAAGAGGAAGAAAAACCAGCAGACGCTGCTAAAGAGGTTGCTGGAGATGCTGCAAACGCCGCCAAAAGTGCGCTCTCGTCCTTTTTTTAATGAACACAATTCTATTGATTAGCACAACGGCATAATAGCCAATCGATCTTACAATTAATTAACATTTCTACCTTCCTTTTTTTTTTCTGCTATTTCACCATTATTTCGAACAGAGGTAAAAAAAGTGAATTTAATTTTTCAAAGTAGAGACTGAGGGTGGTTATCCTAGAATATGTGTGAGGTTTGGTATATACGCTCGTTCAACTGTTTTACTCAAATAGTCATTAGAAGGATTTTCCTCGTGCGAGCATTAACCTCTTAGAATGTACCTCAGAAATTTTTTGCTAGGAGCGTAAAGCAAACTAAAAATTCTACTCAGATAGGATTCTGAAGTCATGGATGGCGTTTATAATATTTCTCACCTGCAAATTATTTTGACTAAGGTACTATTTGTTTTAATAAAGGCATAATTTTCTGCAATGCAATCAACTGCTGGAGTGCCAGGCTATCAGTTAAGATACTCGTAGTTCAACACAATTTGTTCATTAAAAGGAATGTATCGAGCTTGACTGAAGTGAAATGTATCGTTTTAACGGCGTAAAAAAGGATTTTTCCCGTGCGTGCAGGAAAGGTGAATTCGAATTTGAAATGAAAATAATTCAAAATTAAGCAATCTTGTAGACTTACACTGATCCTAGTTGCAACACCTCTACATTTTGTTTTCAAACGGTAATCGTCTCTTGAAGATTTTAATCAAAGAAGCCAAAGAAGGCCCCTAGCCCTTCTACAACGCAAGCGAAAGAGACCATTAATGCAGAACAAAAGGGAAAAAAAAAAGGAAACACACTTTCAAAAGGCACCCCCATTTGTTACGAGAAATATCTGTTATGTACTTGGTACTTAATAAAATGTCACGTATCATATAAAGCCGTAGATCCGAAATTTTTCCTGTTTAGCTTAGACGACACATTTTTAACCATAACCAATATTTCTTACAACTGGGTAATAAAAGTTGCTGTATTTTTTTAATAACACACAAAAAAAATATAAGCCACAGAAAATTACCGAACATTAACTGGTCTAATACAAAGCGAATAATTCATATGGGCGCTGCAGAGTTTTAAAAACATTTTTATAATCTAAACTGAAAGATTAAACAAGCCGTAGAAGTAGCACATTCTTTTCGATTTTAATTAGATGTGCTCTGTAATTCGATTGGTTATGATCTAGTATTGCACCAACATTGGACATTCAGGGCTATGTTTTTAATTTATTTGAAGTTTTTTTCCTTTACACATCGGGTTGTTCTGGGCAAACATTTCCGTAATATAATAAGATGCTTCCATTTAAGTCGAAAGGATTTTTTACTGGGCCATTTCACTGCTTAATTGCCGTCCGGCATTATGACGACAGAATATGAGGTTGCTTTCTGAAAAAAATCGAGAAAATTATCGGCGATACGTTGTTTTAATAACGAAAAAAGAATGACCTTCACAGCAAATCAAGGCTAGCTGAGTTTGTTGCGTTGCCCAAAAAACAAAGTTAAAAAAGAAAAGCAAAATGTAAGCACGTCAGATTGTTATCTAATGTCGGTTTCCCTTGAGAAATTGTCTGGTCAAAATTACCATAAAATAAAATTCATCGTCAGTATATAGCCCTGTAATTCTTTCACAAAGCTATTCAGGGGCTCTTGTAAACAAAACATCACTCTTATTTCCTAAATAAAAAAATTGTCAATAGTCAATATAATGTTAGAGCCAACGGAAAAAGCCTTCAGAATTTCAACTAGAAACATGTAGTACCAGATGACATAATTTAATACAAAGCTAAAAGCGTTTATTTTCATTTACAAAGTTTCTTGAACATAATAGTTGATGGAAATGACGAGGGAAATTGAAAGATCTTGCCTCAAATGACGAAAATAATAATTTCATAGTCTGTGGAAAGACATAAAAAAATTCAACGTATTTATGATACGTTTAACCTGAATGTCAATGAGACTCAAAGGAAGAACAGCGTTTCAAATGGAACCCTCCAAATGTTTTTATTGAGATAAAAACCCTCATTGCAAGTCTACTTTAAATTTAATGTACGGTTTCTTACCCTAACGTCCTCACAAGTAATCGCGAACACTTAAAAAAACTACACAATTGACCCGTTCTGCTATAGAAGGCTTTCTATTCATTGCCGTTTAACGGAACTTGCCCTCCAAAGCTTGGGCCAGGCTCGAGATATCTCGGCAAGAGAAACACCTTTTTCTGCGGTGGTTTAATTTCGTGTGTGTGCAGCTTTGATCCTCGCGAAGATCCGATTTAGAAAGAGCAGTGTTCGACCAGCTCACTCGCGGACTAACCGAAAACGACCCTTGCCGCTGGTGTTCTGTTCTGCTTCTATACTCATTCTCCATGCTCCCTGATCCCGGGGTGATAACATCTCCCACATGAACCCGTGTTGCGGACGTAAAGCCGAACACGTTTCGGACGGCGCGTCGCAATTCCTGCATTTTCCAGTAGTACATTACCGAGTTTGCTGAAGCGTTCATCAACGCCACCGTCTTAGCCACCTCCCATAAAATTGTCTGCTCTACGCTGGACGCTTTTTCTTTAGAATCTAAATAGTGACTCATAGCATAGAACGTCGGCGTGTAGAAAATAAAGAACAAAACCACCACGTACAGCATGGTGGCGGAAGATTTCCTATGTTTCCCTATGCTGACTGATTGAGGGTGAAGCTTGGTTTGGTTGTCAATAAGAGCTTGATGCCGACGGAGCCCCAAAAATATTTTGATGTACGTGTAAAGAAGCAAAATTTCCGCTATCGTTATGACAGTGATTCCAATTACTGTGAAGATGTAACTGGGGAGCCCTGCGGACCACGCAATGATTGACACAGTACAAAAGAACCAAGTTGAGCCAATCGATACGAACGTCCGCAACATTGTGACAATTTCACGGTATCTGAGGTGAAAATGGAGCACAAGCCAACGCTCCGTGCTTATGAAGACCAGCGTCGAGATAGATACAAACATAAACAACAGTAACAATGTCTCCGTCATCCACAGACTGCAGTTGAATTGGTGTCCGCTTAGGAGAATGGCATTGTGCGCGACGTACAAAGGTTGAATGATAAATCCGACGAGAAGATCCGTAGAAGCCAACGAGCACAAGAGGATGCAGGGAGGATTGTGCAAGGACGGTGTTCGCACAATCGCGTAAATCACTGGAAGATTTTGAAACGTGGCTATCAGAGAGAAAACGGAGTTCAATACGATTACAGCGATGATGTCGAAGCAAGATACTTCCGTCGATCGGCGCTGTCGACCATAAAAGAACAGTTTTTGATATTAATAACACTGTTGATCCCGGTCATGTTGAAGATGTTCTGCTTGGACTAGGAGTCCTTTAAAGCTTTTAACAGGCACGGCGGAAGCTGATAATGTGGTGACGGAAAAACCTACTGAGAGAAACCATAAACACGAAATTGAGTCTGCGATCAGTTGATTCGTTACTTCGCGCTTATTAGTTCGACTCATAGCACGCTGCTAGGTGCAGAATATGAGTTCGCCGTTGCTTTGAGGTAGAAACTTAAGAATTCTTCCTCTTCAAGCAGGAAAACACTAACATATAGCCCACCAAGAGAGTGGCCAAAAAGATCCAATGTGATTAAAGCGAGAAGGACGGAGTAATTTGCACCCTTAATGCCTTGCGTTTTCTTAAATAAACAAGTGGAATGTCAAACGTCTTAAAACAAGCTGATTCATCAAATAGTTTTGGGCAGGTGGGATTTTCCAACAACGTTGAAGGTAAGGAAGAAAAATGAGATGTTGTTTGTGACACTTCAGTATTCTAATAACAGAATCTGTATCGCTGTGCAGTGATCTCCCCTCCAAAAATATCTTGCAATTATAACTTCAATCATTTAGCCCTTGTCGACGTCTCTTACTCGATACTGAAACGAGGTAGTCGCAAATAGTAGGTTGAAATATTTTTCTCGCAATGTAAATATCTAAATGTACGTTAGCAAGCTATCTGTTCAAATGTATACTGTTCCCGGTTGTTCGATAAACAACAAAAGTTGCCAAAGGAGGCGGTCTGTTGCCGCGGAACAGATTGTGACAACTCGCCTGAACTATCAAAGGATTGAGGAGCAGGTTAACCTTTGATAAAATTCGCAGTTTTAAAAAGCGTATGAGCGCGTGCAATAATCTGTCACAGACGTACAAAAAGTCGCACATTCGAAAGAATATAAAGCACGCACTACATAAAACAAAATTTCAATAACTTGATCCATAAAAAAAAATTCAAATCTGAAGCCGAAGAAACATAAACATGCCAAGGACAAAAATAAATCCCGCAAGGTCACTGCACAAATTTTGATGGAAATGTTTGCGTGCGAGTGATTGGCAACGATAATCCACTTAAGGTGGCTCGTACTACTTTCCTCGCGCGGGGAACAGATAACTCTTGCGTCACGCGCGAGAGAAACGTGCGAAAGAAGCGCGAGATTAAAAGACGAAAATTTAAAACAAAGATGGCGGCGCGAGGATTTTTTTCTACTTATGTGAGAAGTTTACCTAAGAGCTTGTATTTGATGTGTTGAGCGGCCACTGTGAATGCAGGAGATAGAAACTAACT